AATTTGAAAATATAGTTTCTGAGGACAAGAAAAGACGTCTATTTGAATGACAGTTGGAAGAAAACCTCTATGATGATCTACTCCAATGCACTCATTGTCCATTCATTATAACCTAGAGCAACTATTCATTTGAAAAGGAATTTCTCGAAAGGAAAATGTTGAATGCAAACCCACATTCATTTCCTGTAGGCTATCATCATCTCTCAGAGCCGAAGGATGGAAGTTTCCAAATCATAAAATGCATGTGTGAAGAATATGGTTGCACTGCAAGGGTAATGTTCACATTTTCACCAAGACAGTCATAAAGTTATCGTCAAAACAGTCATAAAGTTATCATTACAACCACTAACTGATTGTGAACGTGCAGCTATTTTGTTTCATGTTAACTAAAAGTTCACTTTATCTGATTTGAATGCTAGAAGCAACAAGCACAAAAACTGATGTAAGATCTAAGTGTAATCAGAAGTTTGCCAACTCCGAAACCAATCTTACCACATCAAGTCGAGATCTTTTCACACAGGTAGTACACCCAATACCTCCATAATCCAGATATTCAAACATAGACTTAGAAGCTATACATCCACAATGGATTCTCTGAAAAAGAAAAAAAAAAGTTTTATATATAAGGTCACAAGAAAATAAAGATATATACATATGTACATATGTACTAAAACACACACATATATATTGAGACTGAGAGAGAGCACTCAAAACAAAAGGGAATTACCAGTACATTTTCTTACCTTGCCACAAAAACTGCAATCCCTCCAACCAGTTTCCTCCGAGTGATACGTATCACAGAAGACTAGATTTTCATAAGCAGATCTAAATCACAAACAGCATCAAGAAACAGTGAATAGATCAAAAGATAGAAAATGAAGTGGTAAAAGATAGTGACATCAATTGGATATAGCATAACACTCCAATTTATAAATATTTTCTTGTAGCAAGAGTGATAAATAACTGAACATACAAAAAGAAGTGAAGATAGATCCCTCATAGCATAAAATAAAATGTTAATAAGCCTGAGGCACTAAATAACATGGGCACAATCTAACACAAAAAAAAAAAAAAAGAGAGAGAATTTGGAGTTAAAAAGCAATTACAATAAATAAATAAACATGAAGCCCTTTAAAACTGACAAATTACAAACACCATTATTAATTGATAAAAGTTAAGCTTCAATATCTATAACGAGATTCACATGAAGAGATATAAACTAAATGGGTGGCAATAAAAGGGTAAGGGAAAACCTCTGCACCATATGGAACTCTGTTATAAAGTTCTCTTTAATTCTGTAATAGAATTTTTCACGGCCAATGAATATCAAACACATCCCTCTTCAAATACAGAATTATGAAATTGAAGATAGAAGAAATATTTACTTTAATTTTAATTGGTAAATAAAAATAGAAAATCAAATTCTATGAGTACACATATACATATTATCCTTCTCAATCCTCCACTTTGAACAACTCATTTTACAGAGAGAATGTGGAAGCGTAATCCAAGGAAAGACCATTCTTTGAAACTGAACTCTCATCTAATCGGTCAATGCGAATGGAGCATCTAAGGCCTCACACATTCAAATTAGACAAAGCATGGTACAAGGCTACAAGCCCAAATTCAGAGCAGTGACAACGAATATTCCTGTTATTCAGTAGAGGTGTTGCGCAATGATATAACATTGACACTAGGGTCATATACTTCAATCAAAATGATTTCGAGGATATAATACCGTTACTAATACCAATTGATAAATCGTAAATGATTAATTACAAAAACAAAAAATCCATATGGGAAATCTGGATTCGAGGACGTGACTAATTTTCCGGAAAGGAAAAAAAAAAGGAAAATGAAAATGGTAAAAAAAAAAAAAAAAGAATCCAATAATAGCAAGTATGATATATAAAATCGGCACATCCAATAAACCAGTAACAGAAACAAACCAATGCAAGAGATCAACATACATTACCCGCGGAAAATCAAATCAAGGGCGAAGAAAAACAAAATCGAAACAAAAGGGAAAAGAAAAACACCCGCAGTTGAGACATAGATGCGCGAATCCAGCGGATCCCAGAGGCCATCCTTTGGTCCAATCATGCGGCGTGGCGGCTCCGCAAGAAGTATTCATGCAGCGACTAGATGCCATTGAAGAGAGATCAAATCAAGCAAGTAGAAGCAAAATCAAACCCTAAAAATCCTTTTGACCAAAGCACAAGAGAATGAAGAAGAAATCGCGATTGAGAAAACAAGGAGAACGAATCGATGCAAAGCTTAGCTCGAAATCTGGAAAGAACAAAACATCGAAGAAGATTGGAAACAAAAGAGAACATGTCTGAACAAAACGCGAACAGAAAATTTCAGAGCGGAGAAGATATCGAAAACAAGAAGAACAGTAAGAACGAAAGAAGAAGAAGACGAATCGAACCAAGGAGGAAGCGAAGGGGGAAGGCGATGGCAGTTGCAGAGGAGGAGGAGGAAGGCGTGGAAATGGCGGAAGGAGAGAGAAAGAAAGAGGAGAGAGAAAGAGAGTGCATGCAAAGCAACAGATGCATAAAATGCATGCACGACACTTGAAGACACGGCGCTAACAAGTCGTCGTCTCGTCTCTCCTTCAGCTTCTCACCTTAGCTAAACCTTCTCTTCTCTTTTCTTCTCTGTGTTTTTTTCTTTTTCACACGCTGATATCCTCACCCGTCTCTCACGGACTTTCCCTGCTACTTCCCTTACATTGCTGACACGTACCTCCACGGCAGTTATTTTTTAAATCAACTGTCTCGGTAACTGCTCACGCGCACTGTAGTTTTATCATTTCTCAACTATGCAAATTCATTTTAATTATTTAAATATATATTTTATTTATTTATGGGGCCAATTATGAACACTTGGAATAATGGCACATTAAAATAATAACCAAATTGTAGCTGAAACCCTTTATTTTAATCCAACGGTGCAGATGGAGCCATCATACACAGTGGAATTTCCTAATTTTGTATTATTATTGACTTTTTTGAAATTTATATGATTAATACTAATATTATTTTTTTATATATATTTGTATTCTCAGACTCTCGATCGAATGCGTCTGCACCTATCCTTGCTTTCTTCAGAGCGGTAGGATCGAGACGTAGAAATCCCATGTCCTTGTAAACCTATAGTGAACCGATAGATGGGAGAAGAGAAATCTTGGATCGGGAAGCTCTGGATAATGAAATTCTTGCTCTCATTGGACCATTTGTATCTATATGCATTAGGATACCGGATAAAATTAGTGATTTTTTCCCGATCTGTTTAGTGAACCATGACACAAACGAAGTGAACATGGAAAGAGAAAGACAACATAAGACAATATTCTAGTCAAATCTAAATTCAGGACTGCGTTTGTGTGAGATCCCACGTCTGTTCAAGAGAGAAACGAAACGTTCTTTATAAAGGTGTGGAATTCTCCCCCTAAGAGACGATATGTGTTATCGGTGTGCTTTGGTCGTTACCGTTCGGTATCTTGCAACTATAGCCATTTTTTACTACACTGCCCGTTTTTATAAATTAAATAATTTTAGAACAAAATATTAAATAATTACATATTAAAATATGGAAAGTTTATAAATTTTAAACAATAAAATCAAATCTAACCAATAAATAATTATAAAATTTAATAATTAAATAGTTTATGTTAATAAAAGTCATATGTATTTTTCAACCCATAAAATAACTACGAATATTTATATAAAATAATAATTAAAAAGAAAAAAGAAAATTATAATATTATATATATATAACAACCTTCCACAGTTATAATAATTGTCGTTGACTATTTATAAGGGGTTGACTATTTAATATACCATGGTGTAATTTGGTAGTTGTAATGGGAGGAAAATAGGTTTCTTTATTTGCAAATATAACCATTTTTAAAATGGTTTGCAAATATGGAAAATTATTTAAATTATTTGCTTTTTTTTTTTTTTTAATTTTCTTTTGGAATACAATGCTTCGATATTACCGGCCTTCAAAATATTATATAACTTTTTTCGTTTTGATAAGCTATAGTCATGCATGTAATAGGTCATCTGGTCTCCCGATCTTAAAAACGAGAACAAATTATGCAACATCTACATCAAGAAAGTTTGATTAGTTTGATCCTTTGTAGGAACTAGCAACCATATGCTTTGACCTGTATTGAATGTCGGGTTGCTCATAAAGAGTTTGATCTTTGCTCAAGATGAACGTTGGTTGCAAAATTCCTATGAAAAAAATAGAGAGGGTATAGGTGGAAAAAAGAAAATAAGGAACCACTTGGGCTCGAACCGATTCGTACTTCATCCTATACGTTAAGGGCACGATAAGAAATGGGTAAAAAAAAGCTCGAACTCAATTTTGAATTTAAGCATAATTAAATGGAGTTCGATATCCCGTTGTTGGATGAACTATATTGCCAAAAGAAATCAGGACCACATTTTTAAGTGCCCACACTTTGGTCAAATCGCTTAGCCCCGCCAAGCGACTCCTTAAATCTGAACGATAATAATAATAATAATAACAATCGTTGATAGAGTCACATGAACTTAGTCAAATGTGACGTGAAAACATTAGATCAAGACGAGACAACACAATTTATAGTTATTTTCAAAATGAGCCGTGGATCTAGTTGAATCAACTCAACTCAACTCAACTCAACGGTCAGTTCGAGTTGTTACTGTCATTTATACAAATTTTTGTTTTTAATAAAATTTTAATAAATTTTGCAATTACACTCCAAAAACTTAAAATTTAATTTTAAAAGTGGTTGAAAATAAATAATAAAACATAAGTATAAAGTTAAATAAAATTAAAATAAATATAAAAAATGTACTTTTATTTGTACTCATAAATTTTTTTTTCATTTATTTGAGCCGAATTTATTTCATCCAAACCGTACGAATTAGGTTGAGTTGATCAAGTTCTCGAGTCACCTAATTTAAAAAGTTGGGTTCTCCGTGCAAGTAAGAGATTGAGCCGAATCAAGTGGATTGAAAATGAAATTTCATACAAATTTGCATAATATTGCTTCAGATCACACAAAGTTTATGCATTTCTTGATTAAAAGAAAGGGAGACATCTTCGTTTCATCTGAACCTGCTTGCTCTGATCATAACATCTTCAACTCAATTAAGAAACTCAACGCCTTGCAGGAGATGAAGAACTTTAGAACTCATAAAGACCTAGGCTTTGCCACAATAGTGGAGTGGTTCAATATTTGCAAGCTGAACTGTCCAGGCTTTTCAGTGGTATCAATCTTGGACTGTCCAGGAGGAGGCAGCAGCTCAAAGTTCTGAATGAGACGACCCAAAGTAATGGCGACAATGGGCAAGGCAAGGACGATGCCGGGGCAACTCCTCCTCCCGGCGCCGAAGGGAAGGTACCTGAAGTCGTTCCCGCTAGGCTCCACGTCGGCCTCCTCCTCTAAGAACCTCTCAGGTCGGAATTCATGGGGTTTGTTCCAGTGGTCAGGGTTGTTGGCCAGCCACCATGCGTTCACAAGAATCTTGCTCTCTGCAGGGATGTCATAACCAGCCAACTTGGCGTCTAGGAGATTCATGTGAGGCACTAGGAGAGGAATGGCCATTCTTAGCCGCATGGTCTCTTTGATAACAGCCTGCAAGTAAGGCAGATTGCGAATGTCGGGCTCCGTAATTTGAACGCCATGTCCAAGCACCGAATCGAGCTCATCCCTCAGCTTTTTCTGGATGTTGGGGTGGTTCACGAGCTCAGCAATTGCCCACTCCATCGACCACAATGTTGTTTCGATTGCTAAATGTTCAAACATCAGCAACATGCTAATTTAGCTAATCTCAGAACATAAGAATATCACTCTAAGACATGAACAGATCATATTTACCGGCAACATTGATGTTCTCAACAATGAAGAGAACATTAGCTTCGGTGATTTCACCATTCTCTTGAGCCTCCACGATATGATCAATGGCACATTTGACACTATCCTCCTTGTTGCTCATCGTGCTTGTAAGTCTCCTGTATGTTATGCCATTGTAAGCGTTAGTAGTAGCAGAAGGAGCAAATTAAGCAAAAAAGGCAAACATTGTTACTAATTATTACCTCCTCTCATCGACAAAATTGTCCTTGAAGAGCTTCAGCCTCCTCTCCTTGACGTCCTTACACACATTCAAATACCCTCTCAAGAAAGGCCTCAGTATGGGGATGAAATCGCCATAGTTGTATTCAAAGCTCTGAGATAGCCGACTCCTCTCGGCGTTTATAAGCTTGAGTTTGTTGAAGAGAGGGTCCTCCATGCTGTCGAATCTCCTGTCGAACATAATCCTATACATATTGTTATACATAAGCAGCTGCAGGCGCCTTCTCAGAACCACCCCACTGGTGGAAGCTTTTGGATCGTTCTTGAGATCCTCCACAACTCTGGACGCCTCCTCCTCCCAACCAAGCCTGTTCTGCTGCACCACCTTGTTTGTGAAAAAGGGGACAGTCATGATTCGTCTCATTTTCCTCCAGTGCTCGCCATAAACTGTGAACACCATGTCCTGACCCTTGTCTGTGAATATATCGAACACCACGTTCCTAGTCCTGGATCCGAATTCAACTCCCTGGGTATGCAGCACTTCCTTAGCCAACTCTGGCGAAGAAACCACCACCAGGTTCCGCTGTCCCATTCTGAGCAACAGTATGTCACCGAACTTCTTGGCCATCTCCGTCAGGTTGCGGTGGTTCAAGTCATCACCCACCTGCAGCCAATTTCCAAATATGGGTATGGGGATGGGACCTGGTGGAAGTTTAAAACGTTTACCCCTGAGCTTGGATATGGTAATAGCAACAACCATGGCCACAAACAGCCCCAGCAGAGCCTTCTCCAAAAGGAGAAGATCCATGGTATTGAACTCCTCTTTAAAATTGAAGCAGATGATGTATAAGCTCTTGCTCTGGCGCTCACTTATATAATCTCAAAAGTCAAAACTTCTGGTAGTGGATTTGTTGGCCATGATATGGGGGTAGGTGAAGTTTGGATTTCAAACTATCTCCACGACCCATTCTCCCTTGAACAAGAGATGATTAGATAATATTATACATAATCAAGTTGTCTGTTCATCCATCCCAGAAGCTATCAAAATAAAGAAAATATAACATTGAAATTTGCATCACATTAGTACCGTAGAAGTAGGACAACTGGAGACGCTTGATCTGACAAGAAAATATTAAAAGATGGGCAATCATGGGGCATGTGATTGTAAAATATAACATTGAGCATTACATGAAACCAACATGCCTAGTATTTAATACAAAAATAAATATAAAGGTCAACGCTGCATAATTCATCGAAGTTATCGATATGATTGTGTGACGGTGAAGGAAGCCTTATGACTTTTGGAACATAGACTATTATGATCCAATATGAATTAATTAAGCGTACGGTAGGTAAGAGAGTATAGATGAGACAAAATGATATAATCAAACCAGTCATAGAGGGAGAGAGTGAGAGTTGTCTCATCTTTTCTTCACCAACACCTTCAATAAAATAACTCCAAGTATCAAGGATATGAATAAACAAACAAGTACAATAAAGGCTTCATCTTCAGATCCGAATGAAATCCAGATCCTATGCGAGACAGAAAGAGATTGTAAACAATCATTAATCCTTATATGGCAACACTTGAACAGGTCAACACTTGAACAGGAGAGACTTATCGTATTCATAATCCTGCTTTACGTAAACATAAAAGAGCAACAGGTAGACCTTGGACAAAGCTTAATAAGCAACGATGATGTCAATTAAAATGCTTCAATCCTTGCATCTTATACACAACAAAAGACAGGCCCAAGAATATGGAGCACATTTGATTGGCTGGGTTCACATTCATCTTCGACAGACGCTAAAAGATCAAAGATTAGTGAGGAGAGAAAGCAGCTCTATAATTCAGCCTATAGAGTGCTAAAGTAAGGCGTTTGGCCTCTCGACACTGGACCATTCATGAATTATGTCAGAGCTGTGAAATCAAAACCTAGGACATTCTGCACAAGAGTACTTGGTCAGTGAGCTATTACACACTCTTTCAAGAGTGATCATCGGCAGCTAGTCGTTGGACAAGCACCCATTTATTGTTACTCGAAACAACTACATATACATCATTATTTTAACAAACAGAACTGTATTATGTTCCAATCCACGGTCAACTGTTGCAGACTCTCTATTAACTGATTGTTTCATCCCAAAAACAGGCCAACAACTCTTCAAGAGCCAATATTAACAATTTCTAAATATGATACTAGAGCAATGAGTTGCCTTAAGATACGGACATGAGAGCACGCTTTTGACCGATAAAAACTTCTTTAAGCATATGATATTCTCTCCTGTAATGCTCAATCGAAAAACATAGCTGCCTTATAGCCTCTCTTTTTTCCTCTGCTCCTTCCATTATTAGTACTCTTTGCCTCTCGACCTTCCCTTCTAGTTCCTTCTCTCTTAATCTTAACTCCTCTGCCCTCCTATTTGCTTTTTCAACACCTGATACAAGTTCCACACGTTCCCTTTCCAATTTTTGCACATGCTCGTTTATTTTGGTTACCTGCTTGTCTTTAGAGCTCAAATTCTCTTTCAAAGTAATAACTTCGGAATGGAGCTGATCTCTTTCAGATTGGAAGCCATCAAGGCCACTTTTAAGATTCTCAATGCATTCTACTTTGTTAACAATGGTCGTTTCCAACAGCTGAATCTCACGATTAAGTCTCTCCTCCAAAACCACCTTTTCCCTCTTGACTTTTCTGATCTCATCCTCCAAAAGACGAGTTTGATGTTCCCATTTTCTTAGTTGTTCCATCAACAGAGTTCGTTCCTCAAGTAGCCGAGATATTTCAGCCTTAATCTGTGTTTTCTCAGGAAAAATTTTCTGCTCAGCATCAGATACTGCTAAATTTAAATCTCTGATCTCATGATCTCGATCTGATAAACTAGCTTTCAACCTCACAATTCTTTCTTGGAGTTTGGAGACCTCTCTTTTCTCTGCAGTCAGCTTGGCCTTCCACGTGGCAGTATCTTTTCGAGCAGCTTCAAGCTCATCCTGCAAATGGCAGATTTTCTCGGGTGACCTATTATTCTCATGTTGAAGTTTCAATTTACAAAGTTCTTTCTGCGAGTTCTCAAGTTTTTCCTTTGTAATTTTTAGCTCTTCCACCAATCCCTGAACGTTAATCACTTGGTCATCTTCCAAACCTTTACGATGTTCTTCAACCTCTGATTCCAGATTAATGACCAAGGGAACCTCATCCTCATGCCTCTTGGTATCTGCCATTGTAGCAGATACAGACTCAGCCTTGAAATCTTTGGTCAATTCTGATTGCTCGTATTTCAGGAGCTTATTTTTTAACCTCATGATCTGGATGTCTGAAATTCGCAGCTTCTCATTTGCATTCCTTAATTCTTCCTCTCTATTTCTAGCAAAAGCATCATCAGAATTTTCATCTGTTAACCCCTTGAATGGAAATGAACTTTCTGCATTTTCCTCCTTCATGCGGATCTTTTCTCTGGCCTCACGAAGCTCAATCTCCAATTCAATCATCTTCCTGTTCAGTCCTTGATCACCACCTGCATAATTGTACACCGAGGAATCATCGGAATCAGGTTCAGATTCTGTTAAGGATGATGATTCATCTCCTTCCTTTTGGCAAATATCATTGCTCCCACCAGATCCAAGGAAGAAATCAAAACCAGCAGCTCGTGGCCCAGATCTACGACGTCCAAGCCTTTGATCAGGAGAGGGCCATGTAGAGGATGGCTCAGAGGGCAGGTCACAAATACCAGAGCCCTGGGATTGTAGATCTGAAGGAATATTTTTTCGCAGCTCTCCTGTCACATGATCGTAACGCTCAGCAAGGGAACGATACATGCGATAGAACTCCTCAACATGAGAGATCAACACTGGCCTCTTCTGATAATACATCTCAGCCTTCTTGGCAAATGAATCTGCATCCTCTTCTATTAGCTTCAACATACGTTTGATGCTGCGGTCCATCTCTACCATAAGGGATCGTTTTGTCAATTTTTTGATTGGCATTTTGATGAAAAATTAACATTGGCTTTCACCTATTGTTGAATTGCAGTAATAAAATTGGTGCATACAGAAACAAATTCCATGCAAATGTTTGGGTAGTTGAAACACAGGTACCATAAGATTCATGCAGAAAGAAGGAAGAAGCTAAAATTTTGCAACTGCTGCCTATATTCCCAAATTTAACCCCACCCCTTTTAGAACATCAACTTAGAGCCCTGTTGAATAAAAGGAAAAGATTCTAGCATAAAGGAAACAGATGTCATGTCACTAGCGAATTGGAGAACAATTTCCTTAGTAGTTATTTGGCAAGACGAGGAGGGGATATTTGAGTGGGTTCAGATTACAAGAAACCGCATAAAGCCAATTATAGTAAAAGAAAGGTACGCCATAAAAAGATCCTCTAAATATTGGAGCACTGCCAATGCACCTAATAATACCTTCATCTTTTCTAGCACTCCCAGAGAAAAGGAACACAAAAGAGGGTAGTACTATCCTAAAACAAACGTTCCCTATCTGTGCAAGGCAGCATAAAGCAATTTGGGGATTGGAAGCCACTGTCAGGGCATGTTAAATATGTAGTTCACCAATGTTTCATACTCTAAAAGTGACATTTATAATTATAATTTAAAATTACATGAACAATACTATTAGCACAAAACATGGAAAAACAAATTGAAGTGTTGTAAAATTATCAGACGATTGCTTAAGCCGGCATTGATACTATGAATTAGCAATCACTCGATGCCTACAACAGAATTAAGCAGAGAGGAGAAAATTAGTAACAAACCCTCGAGATTCTCCGTGAGCCATCTAGAGTTTCTTGGGCTGAGGTGACTATCCCACCACCAAGAATGAGACTTCCCAGACTCCAACCTCTTCAATTGCCTGTCACTCGGAGACTGAGAACAAGAAAAACACATACACAGCACAGTGAGCGAGAAGCACGAAAAAAGCAGTCGCAGTTCATCGAGATGTTAATAAACCAAAAACAAAAACAAAAAACAATCGAATAGACTGTAAAATGGGATCATAATGATGAAGCAGGCAAAAAAGAAGAAGAGGAGTGGCAAAAGCAACGCATACCACTGAGTTAGCCATTGAGCCGAAGAAATCGTGGAGTTCGGAGTACGTTCACCAGAGAGAAGATCCCTGCAATCTGATACTGAAATCGAAACTCAAACTTTAAAAACTACGATCAGAACACAGCCAATTTACATTCCGAACAAAAACGAAACGAAATCGACCATCGATGGAGGAATGCAGGTAGAAAGAAAAGGGATTTTAGGCGCATTAAACAGGAATTTGGTTTGTTTGTTAGCGACGGGGATTCAAAATCGAGGCGCGGAAATGGAGGTTTGAAAGTAACAAATATGATCAGTTTCAGCAGTTCGCAGTGGTGTTGGTGTAGTCGGTGGGGCTGGGCGCGGCTTTGAACAAGGTTAAATGACCATATTGCCCTTCCCTTATTCACACCACATGCTTTCTTTCCACGAAACCAGGATTCCACGCAACCGGGATTTAACTCGGAATCAATAATGTCAAGTCAAGGATGAACATTGGGTGATATAGTTATTTATGTATTTATGAGCTTGAGTTAATTTTACTCGTTCTCGAATTAACTACGAGTTCGTAATAATTTATGGAACAATTTCATTTTTGGTTACCTAAGTTTTTCGGTTGCATATCATCTTAGTAAAAACAAAGTAACTCGTAGATTGAATATCGTCTACAAAAGAACGTAAGATTGTTGATATCTATGTATCTATGGGCTTGAGTCAATTTCACGCCTCGTCTCAATTGTAATAATTTATGCATAATTTCAATCCTTAGATAATATATCATTTTAACATAACAAAATAGACATTAAATAGTATTCTTTTAAGGGGACGGATTCGAACTACCCAACCGGATTCGAACTACCCAACCTAAACTAATTTGGGTTGGTTTAGTTCGATTTTCGAGTCGATATTTTTTGGTCGGGTCAACAAGACAAACTCAAAATAAAGTTTACAATTCAACCCAACTTGTAAGAATGTTAATAATACTTAACATTTGTAATCGAGGTTAGTGATGAGATTCTTTGAAACAATTAAAAAAAAGAATAACCCGATAACTCAGCTCAACGTTGGGTAGTAAACTCTATTTGGATTACTTAAATCACTGATCCAACCAACTCAAAAGCCAACCCACGTACACCTTTAGTCCTTTTCACTGAAAAGGTCGACTTGAGTTTTATTTTGACGAGATTATTTTAAATAAAAATGGAAAAATCATCTACAAAACCGGGATAGGCAGGTGCTTTTGAATGGATTCAAATAAAAATCTAATTAGCTGTTATATTCAATGCTTGGCTCCATGTGTCAGCAATTACCATATTGTCAACTAAACTCATTATTAAGGGATGTAAATGGTAAAGTAAAATAACATTCAATATGTGAGATCCCAATTACGAGAGGTTATGTGAGATTCCACGTTAGTTGGAAAGGAGAACGAAACATTCATTACGAGGGTGTGAAAACCTCTCATTAGTAGATGCGTTTTAAAACCGTGAGGCTACCGACGATATGTAACGAGCCAAAACGAACAATATCTGCAGTGAACTTGGGCTGTTACAAATGGTATCAGAGCCAGATACTAAGTAGTGTGCCAACAAGTACGTTGGGTCTTCAAAAGAGTGAATTGTGAGATCCCACATTCAGTGGAGAGAAGAACAAAACATTTCTTATAAAGGTGCGGAAACTTCTTCCTAGTAGACACGTTTTAAAACCGTGAGGCTGATGGCGATACGTAATGGGCCAAAGCGGATAATATCTACTAACGGTGAACTTGGACTGTCACATGATAGTATCAAAAACATCATGCTACGATATAACAAGTAAAAATCATGTCCCAGCGTTCCTCCGGCTAACAGGAGCAACAAAACCAGCTTGGAGCAACTGGTCGTCCAGAACCACACTGTAAATCACACAAAGCACCATAAGCCTTAAACCATGAACACAAGAAAGAATGAGAAAGCTTGTAAAATGGAATAGAACACCAAAAGTCTTCTCATATACCTGAATGTGAAAAGGAACTAAATAATTGGCTGATTGCCTTTCGAGAACATGCAAAAGTCAATTTCGAGAACATGCAAAAGTCAAATCCTCTGCTGTCTTTCAGGAAGAAGCGCACGGTCAATAAAAATATAAAATAATTTAAGGATATTTGTAGGCTTTCATTGAACTTAATCCTTACGACGACGGTTTCTTAAGCTATATGCTCATGTACTAACCTTAATGTTAGGCAATATCATGAGATGTAGCCCTACAAGGCTCAAGCATATCCTAACCCCATACACTCCACTCTAGGGTGTATACTCAAACCCCTCAAGGCCATAATGTAGGGTTTTTCAAATAGTTTAGCTCCATGTTTTTCATTTTTCAAAGTTTATCATCAACCTTCTGCTTTGCGCGGGAGTCAAATTGCCCTTGTAACAGGCTTTGGGGTAAGTCTCGTGTGTATAGGGTAAGTTGTGCTCTATAAACAGACAAGTACTGAGACCGTATGTCCCCACACGTATCTGTCTACTGGGTACTCCCCAATAGTATACCAAATACGACTTCTGCGATCTTCTATCGGTGACCGCTAAACTCTTTGTACCACGTAGACCTCTAGGAAAGTTCACAATTAGGAGTTACTTTCCAATCGTCCCTACTTGATACTTAGTCAACCCAAAATGCGTGTCAGGCCTAAACGTAGGGTCTATAACTAAGGAAATGTAAAACAACAACTCATGTTCATCCATATATCATTCCAAACTCCATAGGGCACATAGCGAATATCCAAAGCATTAAATGTCTAACCCCTATAACATGCATCTATGAGTATATCATACATATGTAGCTGTCTAACATTCTCAATCAAACGATTACAATCATGCAATACATGTCAAAATCCTAAAAATATCGTCAGGACTAATCAGAGTTCTCAAACGTGAAGCAGAAGCTGTAAAACATAATATCGTGCTAAACTGAAAAATTACCAAGTTCCTAGGCTTAGCTAACATATTTATTGGTTAATTAGGCCTAAAAGCATGCATTCTAATTAGTAGCATAATATCTTAATTGACCCTTAGAAGTATTGCTTGAAAAATAATCCATGTGACAACTTACTCGGATGTCGACTTCCCGAGCTCGATTACAGTCTTCAGAAAATTCAAAATTTCCTGAAGTTCCTCCAATATGACCTAAAGTTCCTCCATTCATGAATCATGTCAGTTTCTTCTTCTTCTCTTCTGTTATTTATTTATTTTTGTTGTACAAATGTGGATATTAAATATGTATAGTTTATCATGAGGGCACTTACTGACATATCGACGCAGAATTCATTCGAAGTTCTTTGGTGCAACCCTTCCTTTGACAACTAATCTCTGCTGTCCATCAAGAGATCCACTGGTTCCCAGTTCGGCCAATAAGAAAGCCATTACATGGTCTGGCTGCCGATGCATCCTATTTTATTTTCATTTGTAGAGAGAGTCCAGTTCCACAGATAAGCAAATAGTTCAATTTAAACCAATACTTGAACAAGACAACGTTGTTTTTCAAAGCATGGAATACCATTTTCATAATTCTGCTTTAAATAAAGATAAAAGAGCAACAGGTAGGCGTTGGACAAAGCTTCAATAACCAACAATGCTGCCAGTTAAAATGCTTCAGTCTATAACTCAGCTTGTAGAGCTCTAATGTAAGGAGTTCGACTCTTGACACTGGACCATGTGAAAACAAAACGTAGGACATTCGGCGCAAGGGCGCTCGATCAGTAAGCTATTATGCACTTCATTTCTAGGGTGACCATCTACAGCTAGCCATTGGACAAGCACCCATTTATTGTTACTCTAAACAACTACATACACATCATTTTTTAACAAACAGATAACCTATCATGATCCAATATACAGTTAACTGTTGCAGCCTCTCTATTAACAGACTTTTCAAGATTGGAATTTAACAATTTCAAAATCAAATACTAGAGTCATGACTTGCCTTGAGATGCGAACTTGAGATCCCGCTTTCGACTGATAACAACTTCTCTAAGCATATGATATCCACTCCTGTAATGCTCAATTGAAAAACATAGCTGCCTTATAGCCTCTCTTTTTTCCTCTGCTCCTTCCATTATCACTACTCTTTGCCTCTCCACCTTCCCTTCTAGTTCCACACGTTCCCTTTCCAATTTTTGCACAAGCTTGCCTTTAGAGCTCAAATTCTCTTTTAAAGTAATAACTTCTGCGTGGAGCTGATCTCTTTCAGATTGGAAGCCGTTAAGGCCACTTTGAAGATTCTCAATCTCGCGGTTAAGTCTCTCCTCCAAATCCTCCTTTTCTGTCTGGACTTTTCTGATCTCATCCTCCAACAGAGCTTGTTCCTTAAGTGGCTGAGATATTTCAGCCTTAATCGGTACATTCTCAGGAAAAATATTATGCTCAGCATTAGATACTGCAAGTTTAAGATCTCTAGCTTTCAACCTTGAAATTCTTTCTTGGAGCTCGGCGACCGCTCTTCTATCTGCACTCACCTTGTCCTTCCATGTTTCAGTATCTTTTCGAGCAGCTTCAAGCTCATCCGGCAAATGGCAAATTTTCTCTGGTTCTTTATTGTTCTCAAGTTCAAATTTTAATTTAGAATGTTCTTTATGCGAGTTCTCAAGTTTTTGCTTTGTAATTCTTAGCTCTTTCACTAGAATCCCATCCTCATGCTTCTGAGTATCTGCCATTGTAGCGGACACTGACTCAGCCTGCAAATCCTTGGTCAATTCTGATAGCACATTCTTCTGGTGCTCACTTTTCAACCTCATAATTTGAATGTCTGAATTTTCATCTGTTGCCGCTTTGAATGGAAATGAACATTCTTCTGCATTATCCTCCTTCATGTGGAGCTGTTCTTTAGCCTCTCTCAGCTCATTCTCCAATTCCATCATCTTCCTGTTCAGTTCTTGATCACCATCTGAATAATTGTACACAGAGGAATCATCAGATCCAGGTTCAGAATCTGTGAAAAAAGATGAATCATATCCTTCCTTTTGGCAAGTATCAGAGTTGCTGCCACCAGATCCAAGGAAGACATCAAAGCCAGCAGCTCGTGGCTCAGAGATAAGATCACAGATATCAGAGCCGTGGGATTGTAGATCTGAAGGGAGATTTCTTCGGAGCTCTCCTGTGACATGATCATAACGCTCAACAAGGGAACGGTATGTGCTGTAGAACTCCCAAATGTAAGAGATCATCATTGGCCTCTTCTGATAATACATCTCAGCCTTCTTGGCAAATGAATCTGCATCCTCTTCTATTAGCCTCAACATATGTTTGATGCTGCGGTCCATGTCTAACATCAATGATCGTTTTGTCAATCTTTTGCTTAGCATTTTGATGAAAAATTTACATGGGCCTTCGCCAATCGTTGAGTTGCAATAATAAAAAATGGAGATTGTAAAACTAACGAAATAAAATTCGTGTAGATAGAAGGAAGAAGCTAAATTTTTGCAACTGCTGCCCATCTTCCCAGATTTAGCCCCACCCCTTTTGAAATACGAATTGACAATGGAGAGAACGGTTGAATCACATCAAAAATACATTTTAATTTTTAAAAAGTGTTTCAAAAATAGCTTTCAAAAGTTTTATTAATACCTAAACTTTTTTAAAGCTTCAAAAAAAACATCCATATTTTTAAATAGTTAAAAAATATCCACTATATGGACGGAACTATTAGTACCATACTTAAAAATACTTATGATTCAAAAGTTTGGAAGTATACAAGGATTTCTTTTGAACTTTTTTTCATAAAGACTAGAGATGTACTTTTAAAATTTCATGGATATTTTTTTAAACATGGTACTATCTAGAAGAGTATTTTTGAACATTTTTAAAAAACTCAAGAATATTAATGAAATTTTTTAAAGTTCTTGAACGGTTTCCATTCAAAATTAATGACAATGGTATTTTTTAATTTTCTTTTAAAAGTTTAGAGGTATTTTTGAAATAAATTACGAAGATTAGGGGTATTTTAATTAATTTAGCCTAAAGAAAACACATAATAATACCTTCATCATTTTTAGCACTCTTGTGGAAACGAACACAAAAGAGGGTTAGAAGCTCTATTCATATTGGTAGTTGACAAGTCCTTGTTTCTATGCATTTTGCATTTGTTGTACTAAAAATTTAAAACTTTATTTGAATTTAAATGTCTCTCTTTTCTAATAATTATAATTATTAGTCCATTGTTTACCAATAAAATAGTTAAGATAACAAGATGAAAGGGTACAATGCGACAACTTTTCTAACCCAAAAAATAAAAAATAGAACAATCAATTTTTCAACAATATTTTAATTTTTTTTTTTTTAAGATATCTCCCTAAAGTTAAATTATTAAAAATACCTCTAAATTTTTCATCAGTAATATTATTTTAAAAAATAATTCAGAGTTTTTATATATATATATTTTAAGTTTTAAAGGTATTACAAAATTAATATAAAAGTATTTTTTTTATTTTTTTAAGTGGAAATTATTGAAAATTTAAAAAATTTAAAAAAAATTTAAAGGTTTTTTTTTTTTTATTAATTTAGTTCTTATTTTCTAAACTTAAATAAATAATATTATGTATTAGAAGAATACAACTCTCCACCGGACTAGTGACTATTTTAAACTTCTCCAAAAGTCTGTCTGTCCATTAATTTAGGGAGCTCAAAAGTCTACTACCAAGAGGATGTATTCTTTAATTATAAATTCATGATTGTTTTGAAAAGTCCAAACGAAAGTCATAAGAACTTATACGGTTGAGTTATGTTGTGGAGGGAAGAGTTTATTCATCTAACATCATATTAGATTTGAAAAACAAATTGAAATGTTGTAAAGTTCTGAGACGCATTGATTGAATGACCTAAAACAGAGAGGAGAAAGGTAGTAACTAACCCTCGAGATTCTCCCGGAGCCATCTAGAATTTTTGGGGCTGATGTGACCTTCCCACCACCATGAATGAGACTTCCTCGACTCCGCCTTCGTCAACTCACCATTGCTCGGAGGCTGAAAACAACAAAAACGCACACACACGCACACACGCAGGACAATGAGAGAGAAGCGCTCGAAAGAGGCAATCGCAGGCCATGGAATAGAATCTAAAATTAGGTCGTGTAATTGAGACTTTCAGTCGGAGAAGAGAAATGGCGAAAGGAAATCGTACCGTAGGGTTAGCCATGGAGTCGGGGGTTCCTTCACTCAGAGAGAGGATCGCTGCAATCTGAAACTGAAACTGAAAAAATGCGATCAGAAATCGAGGCGGCAGCAGCGGCAGTGCAGGGTGTTGGTGCAAGCGGTGGGGCGGGGCGAGGATTCGGCTGGTACAACTCTGGTCCACATTGCAACCTTCCCTCGTCTTCTCCTTTAATAATAACGGTATTAATGAATTAATGAATTAATGAATTTAATTAATTAATTATCATTTCCTAATGTGATCATGGATTTGAAGCCAGAAGGGTATAATCGGAAATGAAATACAAACAATAATCACAAACTAAGCTAAATTAAAAAAAAATATATAGTTTTTGTTTAAAAAAAATATCCTTAAAATTGTTTAAAAAATGGTTAATTTCATTAATGCCTTTAAAATTAGATATATTTTAGTATACACAAGGAACCGTTCATGCACGTATAAAAATATACATATGAATATTTTCAAAAATAATATTAAGTTGTAGATGGTTTTTATCTATATTTTTACGATAATTACTTTTAAACTTTTTTAATAAATGTGGTTTTTAAAAGTTCATAGATATTTTTTAAAAACTACAATTAAATATTCTTTTAAAGTTGAAGGGTATTATTGGAATTTTAAAAAATCTACGCGAGTAATATTTAGAACGAGGGTATTTTTATTTAATTTAAACTAAAAAAACTATGAAACGAGAGAGAGAGAGATTGAAATTTTAGAAAGTTGATACGAGTAATATTATTTAGAACGAGGGTATTTTTATTTAATTTAAACTAAAAACTACGAGACAAGGTGAGGGGGAGAAGAAGCTTAAATGACCATAATACCCTTCACTCATCGACTTTACATGCTGTCATTCCACGAAACGAGGATTGTGAGTAATATATAAATGGAACATGCAGATCACACAATTATGTTTATGTGCATGGGTTCGAGTCAATTTCACATATGCTCAAATTAAATGCCAACTCATATCATCTTAATGAAATAAAATAACTATTAAATAATGTTTTAGCTCGACATGAAAACACACATTTTCGAGATATTATTTTAAATAAAAATAAAAAATTAAATTAATACCCGACAAAATTGTTATAATTCCCTCAGATCATCTAAAGAATATAGAATTCCCATTACGAGACTTTTTGATCCTACCTCTTTGTTTTATTGAGAATAGGAAGTAAAAAGATTTTTCTCAATTAGCTAAATAATTCCGATGACAAATTAAATTTTTCATCATCTTCATCCCCTTTTTATATATAAATACAAATATATTAAAATATTTTGTCTTTTTAAATAAAAATTGTTTTGAAAATTGAAAATCATCCATAAAAAGAATTTAAAACAAATATTTTATAAATAAAAAATAAAAAAGATTTTCTTTTACAAGAAATTTAATGCCAGAAAAATAAATAGAAAAAATTCTAAAAATAGAGCCAACAACATTAACGGCTTCCACGTTTCATGAGTTACCAAATTGTGAGATAAAAGAACCTAACAAAACATATTATGTACGATCATTATTTAGTTCAGATGAATATATATAAGCATGCCACTTGAAAAGCGAGTAAAATAACGAACTTTGTAAATCCTCACAAACTTAAATGCTACTAGAACAACCCGAATTACAATACCACATTCGCTTCAAAATTCACCAACGATCATTCGATAGTCAACTACGTTTTCAAAAAGAGGTAACTCGAAAAAACACCAAGCTTCGATATAACATGTAAAAATCATGTCCCGGCGTTCCTACGGCCAACACGAGCAACAAAACCGGCTTTGATTGGAGCAACCGATCGTCCAGAACCACACTGTAAATCACACGAAACGCCATAAGCCTTAAACCATGAACACAAAGAAGATTGAGAAAGGTTGTAAAATGGAATAGAATACTGGAAGTCTTCTCATATTCCTTAATGTGGAAATGAAATAAATAATTGACTAATTGCCTTAAACCATGAACACAAGGAAGAATGAGAAAAGCTTGAAAAATGGGATGGAATACCGAAAGTCTTCTCATATTCCTGAGTGTGAAAATGAACTAAATAATTAATTAATTGTTTTTCGAACACATGCAAAAGTCAAATCCTCTGCTGTCTTTAAGGAAGAAGCGGATGGACAACAAAACAATAATCTATCCAAATATCATTTAACAATGAAGGAAAATATCAGGTCCATGATCATGTCCCCACCAATGGAAAATCACACTGAATGCAATGAAAAGAACTGTCGTAAATTTATAAAGAGGTAAGGTAGTCCATTATGCCCCAGCTTTCTTAATGCTGGGAGTGTGGCCATTGCACCCATTCGCAAGTGCCAAACTAACTTAGCAATAAATCACAACTTTTCAATAAACATGCATCAGTTTCTCCAGATTACAGTATCGGGATTAGAAAATACCATTAACTCTGTGTATTATCAATATCTCTACGTGTGATTCGTTGGGACATAAACCTCTCCCCCTTTTTATTTTTTGTTCTTTGGAGAAAAAAAGGTGATGAATAGATATCTTCATTTTTATATTTATTATTCGGATTAATTTACTAAATCAGATAGTTATATGAATGAAAGAAAACAGCTTAGATAAATAAAAATTAAAACACGCAAATATGTAAATATATATATAAAACTTACCTTCTCGCATCTGAGAAAGAACAGTCGATTCTCCTTTGAAAGGATAGTGTCTGGACTCTTGCACCCAATGCAAATAACATACTCATCTGAAAGAACACAAGGGGAGGATCGGGTGGCAAATATGAATAAAATCACTCATATTTAGTGACGACAGTAAATAGCAGAAGGTTTGCTAACAGTACTTAACAAGCACCAGCATATTCATCAGTGGAAATTGAAATAAGTCCATCTTTTATAAGTTGATTCTTAACCCCTTCCCCCAATATATAAAGAACTTGCATAATTGCCACTGACTTTCTCAATGCTATACAATCACACATTTTTTTTTTCTTATCTCATCTAGAAATAAGTCCTTGCATTCCCTCTCCTATATTGTCACAAAGATGTTCTGCCCATGTATTGTAAAGGGTTAAACAAATCAAGTTATATGTCAAAGATGATAACGATAAAATGGAGGGAAAAGGCAAAACTAAAGGATATGTTCATAACCCATAAATTCCAATCTTCTTAACTTGTCTCCCTGAACCGGGATACCTTTGACCTTGCCTAATGACATTTATAACTTCATGCTCCCACTTTTGTGGGTCGTCCATCCATGGAGTAAAGAAGGTCGTGTGGCTTGCATTAAAAAGGGTTTTTGGTTTCTTTCGAGCAAAATGCATGGAAGGTTATTCAAGGACTCTTTCTCCACCTTTGTTACTTCTTTAGAACAAACACTTTTTCATGTCATACATGATAGTTTATCTTCTTTGATTTCCAATTAGATATCTCTTTCGTTATAAACCTTTAAGGGTTGGAGGTCATTCTATTTCAATTTCGTTTACCTTCTAAAAATCTTCTTAACTAGCCAGTAAAATAAATTGGATAAAGAGAAAAACATCAAGTCTGAATTTAGGTCACATCTGGCAGCAGAAGACAATGAAGTAAGTCAATGAGGCCACTTACTGACATATCTTCGCAGAATTCCTTCAAAGTTCTTTGGTGCAAACCTTCCCTTAACAACCAATCTCTGTTGTCCATCAAGAGATCCACTGGTTCCCAGTTCGGCCAATAAGAAAGCCATAACATGGTCTGGCTGCCGATGCATCCTATTTGATTTTCATTTGTAGAGAGAGTCAAGTTCCAAAGATAAGCAAATAGTTCAATTAAACCATAAATGATCTACAATAGAAATAGAAAGAGAAAGGGGCGGGAGAAGATAGAAGAAATACATATTGCTGCACTTTTATAGGAAAACATAAATACTCTAGACTATTTTTGCAATAGATGATCCTAGATGGACCTAAAATTTAAAATTTTTTTTTGTAGATCTACTGATGGATAGAAATTGTGAACAAAACCATTGTTGAAAGAGCTAAACTCAGCGCTGTACACAGACATGATGATCACAGTGATAACTTATAAATTCATTTGCCATAATGATAAACAAGCAAGTTTCCTCTCCAAATGGCAATTAGCATGCCATTTGTTCATAGCATCTTAAAAGCATGTAACTAGCTAAAAATACTTCAACTTGTCCAGTTTCTTATAAGAAAATAAATAATAGAAATACTTCAAAATTTTCATATCTTTTGATTGAATATAAAAATTTGCTTCGAAAAGAAAAGCACTTGAAATGTGTTTTCCAATCTGTACTAATAGAGAATGTGCTTAATACAATAACAACCCAAACTCTCTCTTACAACAATATATAGATCACAAGGCAGATTCTGGGGCACAAATTCAACATATGAACATAACATGCCAGTACTTTTATGTCGGGGAGCATTCAAAAAATCAAGAAGAAAATAAATAAAACAACTATAGACAGAAAGATAACCTTTTTTTTTTTGGATGAATATACATACAGACAGCATGGTACTAAAGATTACATCAAACTATAGATTGCAAGCGTGCAGCAAACAAGAGTTCAATTAACATAACGCATATGATAAAATAATCATATAAACTTGTTGAATTGAATAACACAAAATAATGAATAAAAAAATCTGAAGTGCAAACAGCCTATAATTGTAATATGATAAAAATCTGGTAAGAATAATGCATGGTTATATGAGGCTAATGAATACATACGTTTTACATAGATCCATGAAATTGACGAAAACAGTTTTCTTTGTGCCTTCACGAAGAACTTGAGGAGGCCTCATAACTGTTCTACGCCTATCACCTGCAAGCTCTGGATTATTCTCTCTAAGAATGTTAAATACCCGTCCAAGAAGCTGCACAGCAAGACAACAAAAAGGCATCAGTTATCTAATGTTAGCCAAATCTACGACATATCTGTAGCAAATAAAATTTCCAAAAAAATATAAAACCAAACAAATCTCCAGCAATGTTTACAATTACTATTAGTACCAAGCAAAGAATAACGCAAAATCATAGCAATACAACATTTACTGAATACCATGCATACGAGAGTATTAATAAAACAACAATATAAATCTGACATTTTAACTCATTTGAAATGAAACAACAAACCAAATAAATTCCAAAACATGAGTGTT